GGATTTTTTTTTTTTTTTTTTTTTCTTTCCTTCTTTGCTAACAGCAGATGTTTCTCTCTCCTTATTGTTTTAGGTCCGTTCACATTGTAGCCTTTGGCAATGAAAGGGAGGCCTTTTCAGAGGAGAATCAGCAGCCCAGTCTGATTTGGACCTATCTGGGGAGAAGCGCTCTCATTTCAGAGACTGAAAGCAGTTTGTTGCTGAACTCTGCCAGTCACGTTGGAAATCCTGTTTTCACTGAGTATCAAGCCCGTGTGTTTGGAAATGTCAGGCTGGTGGTACATGACTGTCCCCTTTGGGTAAGAAACTAGGGTGAAACTTATAAGAGTAATTTTAAAAAAATGGAGCTGCTCCTAATTCAATGCAGTTTTTATTGAATCTGCCAATTTCAGAATTGGAAATAATAAACCATTAGAAGTGGATTTACAATATTAAACATATAATCACCCAAAGATATGCTCCCAGGACCAACAAGACAAAAAGCCCCTTAGCAAAGCCACTGCCTACTGACCTATATGAGGTGGCAATATTTTCAACTTGCTTGTTTGGTGAAAACTGCATTGAAAAGAATCCAAAAGAAAACAAGAAAACTTTTGTGTGGCTTGAAAACCAAGCTCTCTCCCCAAGTGTTTCTCTACAGCAGTAAAGCAAAGCATATATGAAAACATTTTGATAACTTAAAGAGGGAATCTGTTTCCCAGAAATAATCCAGCTTTGAAAATTACTGAGACATTTTGTAATGGGGCAATTTGGAGTTACGGTGTATGGATTCATTTCTTTTTTTTGTTGTTGTTGGTTCCTGCTTAAATGTGTTGAATTATCAAATGCTGAAAAGCAAGTCCTGAGCCAGAAAAAGAGAGAGAAACAGTTTCTGATACTGTCCCATTAATTCAGCACTTCTGTTTGGAAGTAAATTTATCGAATCCTGAGCAAAAATTGACTTGTTACTGACCTTGTGAGTTTAATGGAGAACTGATGGGTTCTTGCTAGGTTTAATGTTTGTGATTATTTCAGAACGCTGTTCTTTAGGATTGTTGTTTAGTCAGATATACTTAGATTCAGTTTCATAATATTACTTAAAGCCTCATCTTGAAATCCTTGCACACCCAAAATTTCTCTGTAGGAATTCTGAGTGGAAGAACTCAGCGATCAGATGCCTTGTTCTCTAGCAGTAGCCATTGTGTGTGATGAGCCGGTCAACTAGAATTGAGGGCCCAGTTTCAAAAGTTTCACCTTGCATAGTATTTGCATGTGTTGGTCTGTGGAACCACACCTTATCGTAAATGCCATTCAATATGAATAAAGGTTGGAGAATGGATGTATAAAGAGACTGGAGGATATCAATAAAAGAAACTGGAAGGAGGGTTGGTAATGGTAGGGCAAGGTTGTATGGTCCTGGAGAGAGCTCACAAATTTCAGATGTTTGACTGACCTTTATCAGTATTTGAACTTTTGGGCTGCTGAACAGAGAGCAAGATTTTCAATTCTGGAGGTTGTAGGTTTGCAGAAACTAAGTATCGATAGCAGCAGCTTATATTGCTTTGACACCTCCTCCATGTTTCCTGAAGTGCTACACTCTTCTATCTCCAAGCTTTCCCAGCTAGAGCAGATAAAGAGTTTTTAATAAAGTGGGTATTTTTTGCTTACTTGGAGTGGGTAGTTGTATAATTGGGTTCTCTCTACAAAAGGCTGGTGCTTACTGTGGAAGAGACTGTTTTGGCTTCTTTAGCTTGCTCTTTGGACTGTTACTTAGACTTTTATATTTGATGACCATGCCGCTTCCGTGACTATAGGCCTATGGTAATTATAGAGGCGCTTCTGCTTGTCACAGGTGATTTAGGACAGATCAGAATTGTTCTTATAAGCACCTCAATTTAGGTACTATAACACCTGAGAATTACATTCCTTGCCCCAGGAAGGTGAGCCAAACTAACAGGCTTGAGCACCTAGGTACCTCCTAGGAAACAGGAGTTAAACCAGGTAGCCAGCATGCTAAGCAGGGAGATACCAAGAATTAGTAAATAGGAATGTGAAAACTCCTGCTTGTCTCAGGGGCTCAGATGCATGACTCAGGGCTGCACATAAACTCTTAAGCACTTCCATAAACTCAGGGTCCAGAAGTAAGGTGCCTTCCTGAACAGACACCTAATACATACTGACTGTTCGTTCAGTACAAGATGCAGCACCTTAGGGTTGCTCTCAAACACAGCCAGTGTCAGTGGTAGTGCTGGTGGCTGCTTTCTGCATAACAGCTTGTTAGTTGGAAATGGGAGGGTGCCAAGCTTCCTCATCTTGAGGGGGCTGGAACCCACAGCTTCCACTTCCCAGAAGAGTGCTGTAACCACTAGGCAAATTTAATACAATACTCTCATCAGACGTGAGTGCTCTTCCTGTTGAGCTGTCTCTTTGGGCAGAATTGCTGATGTGAATTTTTGTCTGAATGTGCATGGATACTTCTGTCTAGGTATAGAGGTATCTTTTCAGACCAGAATGAAGATGCGGATTGATTTGTAGGCAGTAGCAAGGGGTTGATCTGGACCTAAGTCCAGATCATCGCCTAAATTCCACCTAAGTTTGGTTTAGACACCTATCTTTTAAATTTGGGTCTTAACAGCACTAGTGAGTGAACATTTCAGAAGAATTAGCTCATATTCCTTTTATGACTGGAACAAGGCTGAAAAAGACCATTTTGGGGTATAGATCAGAAACCTGCACAGAGTTGTGGGCCTTCAGGAGGACTTGTGACTTCTTGAACTTCACTGTGATTACTTCTTGACTTTATCATCAAGGACCTTCAGTGATTAATTTCTGCAAGAACAATCAGTAGGGCTTTTTCAAAACAAATAAACCTCAAAAACAAAACAATTTTTCCTGTTTCCCACCAGGAAAGCTTCTGTGGAAGAAGAGTTGTGTGTACAGAATACATTTCTGGTGACTTCTAACACTGATAAATGTTACCCATTAGAGGAGCCATATATTTCCCAAGCAAAGTCCACCTTTTATTTTTATTTTAGTTTCTTTAAACTTTAATCCACGAGCAAATGATTTTACAAATGTTGACAATAGATTAGGAAGAAAATCTCTGATACTGTGCGATGTTCTGAGAAAGGTGTGGCAAAGGAAATGTAGTTAAATCAGTAAAGCAATCCTACGTGGTATTTAGTGCTTGTTTTGTGCATTTTACAATATTTTCCCTACTCAGCAAACATCTGAGACTGTGTGGTGCGAGAAGAAGGGAGAGAGCAACACTCTGTAAACCCCTTTAAAGACTTTCTGTCCTCAGCTAAAGCCAAACATACCCTGAAGAACCCCCAGTCCTCCCTAAGTTTACATTCATTGAGCATCAACCCAGGAACCTCTCTCTCTTTACACCAAAGTTTCTCTCAAAACAAGAACAAACACTGCAAGCAACACTTACTGGGCCATGGTTCTGGTTGCTCCTCATCTATGTGAAGGCACATGCGGTTTCATTGTTGAACAGGTGCTTGGAGAATTCTTCCAGGATGTCCACTAGAACAGCTGACTGCTTTGGGTTTGTTGTAGATGGCACTGTAATAATAGTTGCATTTGTGGTTCTCCTGCAAAAGACACCTCTCCTAGAGGAATGGGGTGGTAGGAAACAATAAGTTTAGTGCATGGAGCACTGGCAAGTGCCTTGTCCTTCGGCTTTTGGAATAGCAGCTTGATTCTGCTGCAGCCTAGTGAAGGTCCCCCTGAGGGACTTGGCTTAAAACAGTGTTGTTTCATAGTTTCTAGGGTCGGAAGGGACCTGAGCAGATCATCTAGTCCGACCCCCTGCCATGGCAGGAAGAGCACTGGGGTCAAATGACCCCAGTAAGGTGGTCATCCAACCTCCTCTTAAAAACCCCCAGGGTGGGAGCCTGCACCACCTCACTTGGAAGCTAGTTCCAGACCCTAGCCGCCCTGACCGTGAAGTAGCGCCTCCTGATGTCCAACTTAAACCTTACACCTTGTAATGGTGTATTTCTTCCAGATATTCATCAAGATATGAATAGGCGTATCTGACTACTTAGCTACGTATCAGGAGCACATCTTTGGCTTGGCAATGCAGAAGTGAGTAGGCAGGATGGAGCCCATAAGGAATATGGGGGAATTAAGCACTAAACAGGGATCTATAAAATGTCATCCAGTAGAGCAGTGGGAGCCAACCTTTTTGGCAGGAAAATAAGCCCTGCACCCTCCCCAGCTGCCACTTCTGTCCCCTTCCCTTCCCTGATTTTATGCTGCTTTGCTTTCTGTTCCCTGCCCTATGTTCCCTGCCCTATTTGCTGCTCTGCTTTCTGCTCCCTATCCTGTGTTTCCTGAACAGTTGTGCTTAAGGTATGATAAGGGTTGAGGTATACAGGGTTCCCTTCTATGAAGTGGAACACTTACTAAGAGAAAGACACAGTGTATAAGCATGCAGTGACTTACCCTATTCACCCAAATCCAACACAATTTCAAGTTTAAGATAACCCCCCAAAATTAGATTCTATACACAGATAATTATAAATTTCTTATAATTATCTATGTATAGAATCTAATTATTGGAAGGTTGTTTTAAACCTTTCCCCCCCACCACTGTAACAGGGTAAGCAGTGATGGGGAAAGCATTGGTAGGGGGGCAGGTGCCTTGATCTCCATTACCTCCCCTCCCCAGTGGCCACTGAGCTCTGCCATTTGCTCCTCTGCTACTTGGCATGCTGCTGCTTAACATAATTATGTGGGGGCTCTGGCTCTGACCCTAGCATGGGGCAGGCAGCAACAGCTCTAGCTTCAGCTGCTGGCCTGGGTGAGGGCTGCAGCTGTAGCAGCTTCTCTGCTGCTGCATAGTCTTCCGTGCAGTTCTTTCAGGCTGCAGACCGCACGCTGTCCCCCACGCTTCTCCCTCTCCCTGCATCATGCAGTCTCCTCCAAGCTTTCCTAAAACATGCCCCCTCCCCTTTCCCTGCCACACAAGCCACTGAGGTCCTGGCCAGACAGCAGCAGTGGCAGTAACAGCTCCAGCCCTGGGGCAGAGAGTGGCTGCAACTCTGAACTCAAGCCTTGGTCATGGCCAGGCCCAAACCCACTGCCTGTCCCAGGCCAGTACTTGAATCCAAACTGAGGTTTTTTGTCTCCGTGTTGAGTGCAGAAAAAATGTTATCTTGGATTTGAGTAAATGAGGTACTTACTTTGCTAAGTGGTTGTTCTGTTCTAAGAGTGTCAATCAGGCAGCCCTTTGGACCTGTGGGATAGCATATCATCTCAGGAGTCTTGAAAGTGTGTCTAACCACTTTTTTATACCCTTACCTTTTAGTTTCATTCGCTTAATCTAATGCCTAAGGATACTTAGTGATAATTCCCCTGTATCTGTTGGCTCAAAACTATACCTTTACATTCCCAATTACGCCTTACTCATGCCCCATACAAGGTGATGTCTGTTGCATCTATTTGTACTTGAAAACAGGATTACAAGTTTAGTTTGACCGTTAGTCATCACAGAGTTCTTAACCAGGCCTGGCAAGCTAGAGCAAATATTTGATTAGAGAAAACTGATCTTATCCTAATTCAGTATGGTCTTTGTGAGTTTGTGCGACTTGATGATAAACTCGGTTTTAGCTAATTTGGTTGTTGAGTTTGGAAATGTAGTTGGGGGTTTAACAGGTGTGCTTGCTGCAGCTTTCTGGCCTATACCTGTACTCCCTGCCAAAAATACTGCTCTGCTTTCTAGTTGCTGTGCTGTTTGTCTACTCCCTGATCTGTACTGTGTTATTGCCTGTGTCTCTTCTGGCACTGTGCTGCAGGCTGGCCAGCACTGCAGTAAAGTATGAGAGTGATGTTGTAGTTGTGATGGTCCAGGAATTATCACAGAGGCAAGGATTTCTTAGGGTGACATCTTTTAATGGACCAAATGGCCTTGTCTACATGAGATGCTGACTGACTGCGCAGTAGCTCGTTACTACTGCTCAGTAGTGTCACATGGCATGAACTGTGACACAATGCTACTGTGCAGTCATTGTCACCAAAAAGCCATGTGGGGACACTAATGCACAGTAACTCCAGTTACTGCGCAGTCAGTAACAACTGCGCATTCAACGTTTCATGTAGACACAGCTATTCTGTAGTTGGAATAGATGTGGGCACAGACAGAAGTGACACTTTTCACCCAATCTGACCAAAGCGGTCTATAGCCGTGACCAAGCACAAGTGCATGGCTGCAGATTGCTTAAAAAAGGCTGATCAGGTGAGAATCTGAACCCTCATTGCATGAGGGTTCAGATTAAGACATTTCAAAACGTAGCGTCTTCTGTAATTTATGTCTGCCTGCCAGCCTCTGAGCTGTTTTCAGAATGGGAGGGGGGAAAGGGAGCAGAGGGAGTTTGGTTTGGGATTTTTTTTTCAACCCCAACCCTTCAGCAGTTGCCAGGGAACCCCTGGAACAAGTTCCCTCTGCTCCCTTCCCCCCTCCCATTCTTAAAACTGCAGCCTGTCAGGGAAGAGGGGCTGTTGCTCAGGGAATCCAGCTGCAGGCTGGCAGCCAGCACCTAGATTCCCCTCCCCCTGGAACCAACAGTGAACTTCTGTTTGGTCCGCGGGATTGTTGTAACAGAACGCTTCCTGCAAAGCATTATGAGTTACAGTGGGGAGCTGCACTTCTGTCTGCGCCCTTAGACCAAGCTTTCAAATGTAATCTTCATTCTGATGAAGAATGTCTTGCATTTGAAAGCTTGTCGTAGTCTATCCCAAATACGTAGAGTGTCCATTGAAAGATCCCACCCTAAGAAATTCTTGCCTTCTTATAGCGTATGGAAGAAATGTGCAAGGTAATAATGCGGAACAGAATGCCACTCAAAAGTAGCACTGCAAAAGCAGATCCTGGCTGTGTAGGACACTAAAGGCAAGAGGGGACAGAAATCTTGAATGTCTTCTGAACAAAATTTTTGATCAGCCTGTTCTTTTAAGAAAAAAGCAGCAAATGATGTTTTAGATTGCAGTGGCTCAATTGCTCTCTGCTCCCCTGGGATATAGATTTCTGGTAGCATAGTTAGGGAGGTCAGGGATGTGAAGAAGTATGTGATTCCTGATTGACATAGTTGTGCCCTGGTATAGATGCCATGCAAGTAAAACTGTTTTTACCATTATAGCTGGTTTTATGTAAAGAGAATGGTTTTATGAAGTGCATACAAGGGCTATGCAAAGCGAAGCTTTGCACCCACAGTTGTTTACAGCTATTCCCAGTTTAGACAGCCTCTGCCTTGTCTGTATGGGGCACTCTAAAAACCTAAATGAGTTAACTAAATTTGTGAAGTAAAAGTGCTTAGACCCCTGTGTGGATGTTCTAATTCATATTCAAATGGCTTTAGTTTACTATAGCTATCTAGCCAATACAGGGCTCATGTATTTTAATTTATGTGTATTAACTTCACACCTTTAGTTAATTTGTCTGAGCTTTCCTGAGTGTCCTCATTCTCATGTACCTAACCCCTAACAGGAGGCTTTCTTCAACATAACAGGTTTTACAGAATTTACATTTGGTTTGTTAAGCTTTAGTACTCAGTTCTACTTTTGTAGCTAGTAGCTTGTAGTCTCCAAAAATAGGGCTTTGGGTAAGAGAACCTGCTTTGTTGTGCTTTGGCAATGTAATCAAGTTAAATTAATATGTTTAGGTAATACTGTTAGCAAAGCCCTGGCTTTCAGTGACACATTTGCTCAAACTGCTAAATAAAGCGGAGGTTATGAAACCATTTATATAATGTATGTAGGAACTGAGTGGAAGCTTTTTGTTCTTGTAAACAGAACAAAAGTGTAGTGAAGCAGAATCTCGAAGGAATGTTAGATATAAATCTTTGTTAGTCGATAATAAATAAATATATATAATTGCTGACAGTAGCCAAAATCAGAGAGAGTGTATAAAGTTTATAAACTGAATAACAATTCAGTCAGTAATGTATTTTGTTACTGAATCTTTTTGTGCAGTATTTTAATGGAATTCATGTAGATGAATGAAAAAAATCTGACTTTGATCATTTTTAAAATTTACTTTGAAAATTCCATATATACACAACAAATCGCTTTGTAAACCCATACAAAAAGGTTCTACAGTAACAGGGTTACAGTAAAGACTGGAAACTTCCACCATTGAAGCTATTTTATTTTAAACCATTTGATCTCAAAATGTTATTAAGGAGGAAATTACAGTTTTCCATTAAAAGCTTATTCTTAGACATGAGCAAGAGTTTCAACTTCCATTCTTAGGATTCCATAAATTCATAATGCTGACTGTACACTGCAACAGCAGTGAAGGGGGTAGTGGTTTTGACCTATGAGGTGCTAAATGGCCTGAGCCTAAGGGACTGCTTTCTCTCTTATGTTGCGTTGTGATCCCTAAACTTTAGCCAGGAGCAACCTCCTGCAGATTCCAGCAATGTGCCAAGTTTGCTTGCCAAAAATACATGCAGGAGTATCCTTGGTAGTCTTCTCTCAGTTCTCTCTCCCTTGATGCCTACCAGAATCTGAGCCTGAACATCTTCCAGAATCCCTAGAAGACCTTCCTATTTTGAGTTGGAATGTCTTGTAGGTATATAGAAGGCAACGCTAACATGGGATATTGTTTGGAGGGAAGGGCGTTGCTTTATAATTTATTTTAATAACCTCTATTGGCTTTTATTTTGTTTCTCTTCAGTTCTGTTGTTCATCTGTTTTATAAGTTATTTTGCTGTCTTCTGTCCGATGCCATGAACCTTTTGTTGGGAAGGTTGGCATAGAAATCTAAATAAATACCCTTTTTTGCATAAAACACATGCATCCCCAGGAGTCTGGAGATTTGGGGGAATGGGACAGGTGCCAACATTAATTGCTATGGCTCCCAGAGCTGCTCTGGGATGATGTGGCTGGTCCACAGGGTCTGATCTGGCACAGCCTTAGATCTGGTTTGCCAGATCAGGCAAGTGTGTAAGCTTGCTGCACAGGCAGACCAGGCATAATGGCTCCAGACTCAGCATGCCAAATCAATCAAGTTTATGGGGTCAGACCCAGTGCGTAGCCTTAGACCTGGCACCAAGCTGGCATGCAGTGTTAGTCTTCAGCTGTGTCCAGCACGTGGCCTCAGCCAGCACTATTAATCAGGCTAATATGTAGGCTTGGACCCAGCACATGGTCCCAGGCCTGGTGTGCAACTCCAGACTTGGTGTTCCAGATCAGTTACCCATAACATTTTTTTCAAGCTGCCTATCAATAACAGGATATTTGGGGGGATGCTGTATATGAGAAAATAAGGTAAATATAAGGATGTCATGTGAAAGAGGCTAAAGCATCTTGCTTTGTCCCTAGAGGCATATGTTTGAGTCTGGCTCTGGATTTGTATCAAACAAGCTGCTTCCCGGTCAAACTAGGTGTAGGTGGGTACATGGTCATTTGGGCTGTAGAGTTAAGGGACAGATTCTGATGCTAGCCATGTTGGCTACATGCCTTAATGGTGCCTTAATGTGTGCCTTAATCGTGTAAGTTCACTAGGCTTGGTTTGATCTTTGACCTTTTTTCAGTTGTTGACTATGTTGCCTAAATCCAAACAAGAAGATTATATGGAGAAATTTATAAAGCAAACCCCTCTTCTTTTAGCTGCATCTCTACAATCAAAAGTAATATTATCAGCTAAAACATAACTTTTTAATATGAAAGAATATTTGCATCGTGTCCCTTTATTTTTATCTCTAGGAGGGTGGATTCTTGACCCATATTTTTTTTCTTTTTAGGATATATTTGACAGTGATTGGTACACATCTCGGAATCTTATCGGTGGAGCTGATATCATTGTGATTAAATACTCTGTGAATGACAAGTCTTCATTTCAAGGAATAAAGGACATTTATGTCCCAATGATAAAGAAAGCATTAAACCACTGTTCAATTCCAGTCATAATTTCTGCTGTTGGTGCAAGAAAAAATGGTAGGTACTCATTCTTATATCATCAAAAATTGAAGTTTTACTTTGAAGGTAGATGTTAAGTCGGTCACAGTGAAACAGTTTGCCATTCAGTAGATCAGTCAGCAGCAACAATGAAAATTAATAATCTGCTTTGACTTTTTTGTGTAATGCGCTCCTGGATGGGTCATCATCTGTGGGGATTTTGACCTTTGAATCTGTAGGCACAAATCTATAGTCTGTTTTTAAATTACAGGTCAGCTCCATACGTTAACTCTTAAATATCACCTAGGGGCAGAGAGATGCAATGTATTAGACTGGGTGACATAAAGACAAAGGGGCTGATCCCTCTGACGACAGAGTAGCAAGCGATGAAGTCTATACTCAAGGTCACGCGTAGCTCCCACAGATCAGTTTTAATTAGCTATGTAATAGTTGCGGTTTCTGGGTTTCAAACTTCCTGTGTAATAATACAAATCAAAATAAAAACGAATATTAAAAAGACCAGATCTAGTACCAGAACATTTCATTAAAAAAATTAACAATTTTTGTATTTAAAAAGCAGATTTTTTTTTTTTTTTTATAGAAATGAAAAATTATAGCCTTGCAATCCTGGGTCCTGTCATCAGAATTCTTACACTAAGTAAAATTAAGTGTGGCTACTAGTCAGCGGGGAGATCTCCAGGAAAAATGCACCCTGCTGCAGGGAAGACGTATTGTTTCTTTTGGTACTTTTTACACAAGGGCAATTTGTCAAAAAAGCCTTTTGCCTTTTTGTTTACTTAACCTAAAAAGACAGTTTAGTATGTTCATTCCTTATTCCATATTTCCAAGCATTGTGCAGCCTGATTTTTTGCCAATTTTTATGTAGTCCAATAAGGTAGGGGTTTAACTTTTAAAGAAAACTGCACCTGTTTTACTTATGGATGCTTTCAGAAGTAAATAGAATAAGCAGCTCTTGACTCTGGTCAGATACAGACATTACACCTTTACAGCTGTAAGTGATTGGAAACCCATCTATATCAGTAACAGAAGAGACTTTGGTGCATAAAACCAGTCTATACTCATAATAGAACAGAAGTTCGGAATGTATAGACTGGTTTAAAAATGATAGCACCCTCAGTCTAAGATTTGCCCTCCACCACCAGAGGGCCAATGTGTGTTTTGTTTGTTACGGATCAAAACTACACTGCTTCCAAAACTGACTGTGTCTACACAAGACACTGACTGTGGAGTTGTTACTGTGCAGTCCTTTAGTACTTGCACTCACAAATACTAAATGACTGTGCGGTAACCGAAGTTACTGAGCAGTGATGTCGCCAAACGGCTTTTAGGTGATGCTGACTGCACAGTAGCTCACTACTACTGTGCAGTAGCATTGTTATGCTTTGTGTCATGTGATATTACTGCGCAGTAGTAACAAGCTACTGCGTAGTTAGCGTCTCGTGTAGACATGGCCACTGCATAACAGATCAATTCTGCCTTGGGCTTCTTGAATGTGTGTACCTAGCCTGTATGTCAGAGTCAGAAGTTATTTTTGTAGTTAAAGGGTCAGATTAAAATAAGTGTTTCTGAACATTCTGAAAGTACTTCTTATTACCAAGAATAAGGGACATAATTTATGAAAAATACTACCTTTCTCTGGGTGCATCTTAGCCACTTTCTATCTCATGTCAATATCGTTTGAACGATCAGGCAAATAATTTTTATTCTGTAAACTGAATACAAATGTACATAAAAATGTTACCCTAAGATATTACTAAGGGCTACTTAGATGTCTGTCTTTCTTCAGTGAACCAGAAAACCTGTTATTTTATTAAATCTTGTGCCAATTTTCTTTTATATTTAACTGACATTGCAAAGCATAGAAGCAAAACAATCTGCTCATAAAAATCTCAATAAAAGATTAGAGCCTAAATAAGGAATGGTGCAAAACAATAAAATGTCAGCCTACTTTGTATTGTGCTGTTTGGGATTAACCAGATTGCAGAGTATCTGGATTTCTAAATGATGCCATGATAAATAAAACATGTTTTCCATTGTCATGCTAATCCAGGCCATCATGTCCTTTATTGCAATTGTTGCTCCTTTCTCAGTTAACTGACAAACCTAGGAAAAAGCAAGGTTTGGGGTAAAGATTAATTGCAAGATTCTAAATGTAGACTCACACAGAGTCAAATTATGATTTGTTGTACACTTAAATAAGAGAACTAGGGCTGCAGTGGCAATTCACCTCTTTCTCTGCTGTATGGTCTTCCTTTTTCATGGCCAAAGTGTAAGGGGATAAAAACATCTGTGTGGGGACTACCATAATACACATGCATATGGGGAGAGAATTAAAGTCGTTTTTATCTGTGCAGCTTTATTCTTGTGGTTCCAAACTCTTCAGAGCTTTACATTCCAGTCTTAATATTCTTTTAACTTTTATATTTTTGTTTTTAATGTAACAAACTGCATTTATCTAATAGGCAATATTCTGACATGATTTAAATAAATGTGTATGCTGCTGCATTAATAGGTCCCCTTCATTGCACACATGAATTTGCTAGGTTTCAGCTTTCTGTTCTGTTGCTTACTGTATAATGTTTATCTTTACTAGTTCTTAGAAACCAGTTTACCTTGGAGTATTTAATTAAAAATATCTTGCGTAAATGTCTTCTCAGAAGTGCCTTGCACTTGCCCACTGTGCACTTCAGACAGGAGGAGTTGTGTTACTACTTCTGAAGGGATTCAACTTGCTAAAGATCTAGGAGCTACTTACCTTGAACTGCACACTCTCAATGACTTCTATATAGGCAAATATTTTGGAGGAGTGGTAAGTAGAACATAGCGCTCTTGTAAATACAGCATAGGGCAAATATTCCTGATGTTTCTTTTAAAGTCTGAATCTTGGCTCTAACTTATAACACTGCATAGAACATAGCTGAGAGAATAGATAAGTGAAACAATGATTTGACCATTCTTCTACACTACACATTTTTCTCTAAAATTTTCCACTGGTAGTGCATCTTCACTAGGGATAGCAATATTGGTAGCACTAGAGCTTACCCTGTAGAAACTTTTTTTGGAAATGTGCCAGCACTATGAACAGATATTTCTAGTTAAAATGGACTAGACACCAGATTATTTATAAAATGCTTCAAATTGCTTAAGATTTTTAGTAGGATTTATTATGAATTGCTCAATCAATCAGTTGTTTTCCACTTGAAAGTGGACATGCTAAGGTAGTTGAAGTTTTATGCATTCCTGCAGTTATCTTGTTTTCAATCATTAGACAGTTTAGAATCTCAAGCAGTCTATCTAATCAGTTGAAATTACCATACATTGATCTGCAGGATTAAAATGCTGGAAAATGCAGAAATGGGTTGAAGAAACAGTGAACATTTGCACGAGAAGTTAAACATATGTTATTTGGAGCAAGGACTGTATATGTACTTATACCAGTACAGTTAAATTAGCACAACCCCTCTTGCATTCTGGTCTAGACATACTCTTTAAATGCTTCTACAAAATTAGTTGCATTCTAATGTTGGGTAGAAAATCAGCCAGAACTGATGTTCTGGTACAAAAATGTATATGGATCATGCTTGAGATGTTAATTTATGTCCTTGTGATTTATTATCTCTCAAAACTTATTTAAGTGGATTATCAGGCTAGTTGTCTTTTCTGGTAATGAAATTTTGCCTTCATGCAGGAAATTCATTCAATACAGTGCTTAAAAAAGGACCCATTTTCCTATTAAAAGCAATGACAAATTTTCTACTAACTTCAATGAATAGAAGGTCAAGCCCTTAAAGTTCAGATTTTTAGAACTAATGTTACAAAAATGTATGTTTGCACATACAAACTGAGCAATTGCATGTATAATACAAATACAAAACCTGAGAATTGCTGTGAAGTTGACCTGTTTTTGAACACGCCATTTAAGCATTTGTTTTTCCTTAAAAGTAGGCCATAAAGGTAATTTGTGAGAGGATTTTATAATTACTGTCACTTTTTTTGCTGCTTTATAATATGGGGAAGAGACTGAAGTTTGTTTGTTTCCCTAAGTAATTTCTTTTCTTCTGAGTTGTGTTTTTTTTGGGGGTTTTATTTTTATTTTAGGAATATCAGACATGTCACATGTTCTTCCCTCTTAACTAGGAGTTCTTAAGCACCTCAAGGTGTCTGTTTTTGAGTTCTTATATCTTAATTATATTGTTTGTTTTTTTTTAATTTAACAAAGACAGCCTTTTGACTGAATGTTCATTAGTCCCTGTAGTTAAGTAGGACTTAAGCTATTTAAAACTCTATTTTTGCTTGAAGAATTCATGCTCGCAGTTGCTTATATATCAGTTGTTGTTTCTGTTTTGATATAATTTTTTTCTGGTAGAATATCATTAGTTCTACAGTAGATGTGCACCGATACATTGGTCCATATCATATGAGAACTGATAAAAGGAAAATTGACATTACCAGCAGTTGGCTTCTTTTGTCTGATGTGGCTGATTTTTAAGGTTGCTGATTAAATGCCGTGTGCATGGGTGCAGCCGCAGCATGCATGCAGCCAGCCTGGCAGCTTGGAGAGCAGGGTCCATCTGGTAAGTCTGTTGGGTGGGGCATATCAAGGCCCCCCATAGTGAGGGAGGGAGCAGGGCTGGGAAAGGGCCAGGAGCTGCCCGGCCAGGCGGGACACAGGACAGAGCTATGAGCAGCTTGTCTGGGGGGTGTGGGGAGGTAGGGGCAGCTCCCGCTGCTGCACACACCCCAGAGCAAGGCATGGGGGGCACATGCCCCCTGGATCTGTGCGTGGGGTGACGGCTGCAGTGGCAGCCCGCCTGCAGCCAGGGGCAGCACCAGGCTCTTCCTGGTGGGGGGACTGAGCCATGGCTATGATCAGAGCGGGTGGTGACGCTGAAAGAGGGGGTGGGGGAGTTGCAGTGAATTTTGGGGTGGGTCTGGTCCATCCCAGAGCCCCTCTTTCAGTGCCGCCTGCCCCATGTGAAGCCCTGGCCCAGCCCCCCACTGGGAAGAGCCTGGCACTGCCCCCAGCCTGTAGTGGCGGCCTGCCTTCACCCCGTGCACAGATCTGGGGGGCATGTGTCGCCCATGCCTCCCCCAGAGGTATGTGCAGAAGCTCGAGCTGTCCCCTCCTCCCTGTGCCCCACCTGGCTGGGCAGTCCCTGCCCCATTCCCTCCCTCACCATGGGGGCCTTGATATGCTCCTTCCCCCCAATAGACTTACTAGCTGGATGATGCTCTCCAAGCTGCTGGGCTGCATATCGGCATTCGGATCAGTATTGGCCAATATAGCTTATTAATAATCAGCCACCAGTATTGGCCCAAAAAATCTTTATTAATGCACCCCTGTTCTACAGACCACAAAGCCTTCCAGAATCAACAAGATTTTGAATTCTTAGTGTAAAAAATAAGGAACTTTTTTGGCACGTGCCTTTCACTTCTTCTGAAACAAAATATAAGGAAACATTGTGAATATATTAACTTTATAAACATTTTACCTCAGGGTTTCTCTTTGAGTCCTGACCAAAGGTATTTACTTTGTGCTTGCTGTGTAAACTGTGCCCTGATATAAAACTCCTTCTTGGTTAAGTACAGCCGTTCAAAGAGTCCAAGGCATAATGGATCTAAGTAACGTGGTTTTCTTTAAGTAGCCTAGGTTAGACTGGTAGTGAATAATGTATGTATTTACCCTTTGGTGGAAGACACACACAGGCTGCCTACATTGACGAAGACCTGCAAGTTGTGGGTATTACTGCTCTCTTCCCAGCATGCCCTGTGGGCTCCTGGAGACTTCCATGCATAGCTGAGCACCTGGGCCATCCCTGATTGGCTACTGAGCACAGGCAAGCATGCCTCCATGTGAGCAGGGAGTTTCAGAGGAAAGGAGGCTGGGATCCCAGAGGAGAGCAATCTAACTTGAATCAATAGTTCAATACATTGGTCTAAACTAAATTGATTAGACTTGAGTGCACATTGAACCAGGTGGTTCTTTGACCGGTTTCTGCCATTTTTTACACCGGTCTATGTGTGCCAAACTTCTGTATGGTTATGGGTTTAGATAGATTTCCAGTCATTTGGACCACTTTGTGTAATGCTTATGTGCGGCTAGTTGTTTCAGATATTATTTTAGTTGGTGTAAGAATATAATATTTAGATATTTATGTCAAAATATCTGAATTTTCAAAAGTATAATACTTTATATTAATAGGAAAGGCAAAATGGATTGAAAGTTGAAGCATTAAAAAGCATACTGAAGCCACATTCCTGGTCATAGATCATCTATACTGTTCTATAAGATTAAAAATACACAGATAGAAATACAATTTAAAAAACTGCAAGTGTAAAAGGACTTCAGAGTATAATGCTAAAACTCCCTTTATATTTACATTATATCAGTTTCCCTGCAAATAACTTTATCAGTATGCTTTGTAAGAATAATTCTTTCTACAGAAGTATATTAAAATGAATCCCTACTCTTGGAAGCTGCTTGTAGTACCAGAAAGCTATTATGCTGGAAATTCTCCAAGCTTCAAATTAAACTTCAGGGACAGAGAGCATGTGTCTGTCCCTGTAGAGGAGTTACTGCTGAGAAACAAGTCTGCTTATTTGCTCCCTTTTTGTCTGGACGCAGACCGAGCACTTAGGCAGAGGAGACAGCGTGGAAGAGGTCTCACTTCCCAGGAAGTGGCCAGCTGCTTTCTGCCAATGAGTCTATGGGGCCTGCTGAAGATTTGACATGTTCCCATCATTATCATTAGATAATGCTGGGAACGTATCAAATCTCAGCATGTCTCATAGACTAGTTCATTGTTCCCAGTTTTTTGAGCTGGGATTGAGCCACACTGATGCCAATACCTGTGCTTCCTTTTTCAGTACTGTTCATTTAATTTGAAATAATTCAGTATTTGCTGTAAAGCCATTTTTGCATTAGTATTTATTGCAGTGCTGCTAAGGTTTTTGACGCCATGACTTCACTACAGTTGGAATTGACAGAAAAATTGCCCTACATTCTATTTCCATCTGCATTTGTATATTTCTAGTTTAGAGAACCTCCTGCAAGTGCTGAAAGCACTTCAGATGTGTGTCTTCATTTCCTTCTAATGTACAATCTAAAGAAGGACATTACCTGTTTCCATGTTTATTTATGTCTCCAGAACTCTTTATGGCCGTCCCATATATTGTCATGAGGGGGCTATTTAAAAGTGATGGATTGTTCCATTTACCATTTAAGGATGAGTGTGATGCCTTTAATGATTGTGGGAACATTTGACTCGGACTTGTTTTGGCACAGCAGTATTACTTGATTGCCAACTACATTATTCTGCTTTCTAAACTTGGCCCTAAGCATGGTAGAGTTTCTGTTTTCTGAGAATTTTTGAGGCTCTGCTTTCACTTTCTAGTAACTTGAACCTGGTTTGCATAACCTCTAGTCTGTCTTTATTTGTATCATTGGTTCCAACTCAGACAAAGAAATAAGGATTCTTAAATACTTAACAAAGGCTCATTCCCTTAAGAAATGAAATCTTAATAACCATGAGTAACATCCATATAAGATTCAAGGTAATAGCTACAGATATTGCTATATGCATTTGGTAGAACTGAAGCTTCACCTTTACCAACTGTACTTCAGTTCTTTACTTGTATTTCTTTATCCATCTTACATTATTTTCAGCTTCTTGCAAAACTGATACTTTCACTCCATGGACCATTTCTTTTTAGGGTGATAGTATGTTTTGTCTTTTATTTCTGAAAAAAGCAAATCATGCTTATACATCATTTACATAACATGCTTTTTTTAACTTTATTTATATAATAAAGCAGCTTATAAAAGTTATATTTTTCAATGCTGTTGGCTAGTTCTTGGCAACATAATATGTATAGTGTTAGCTTGCATTTTGGTGACTTGCATCCTGATTATTATCCATCAGTTTCTGCTCTTCCTTGAAGTCCTATTGTAATAGTTGTTCTGACCGGTACATTAATTGGTAACAAGTCAATGATTTCTGACTTGACTGAATGAACGGAAAATTAACCATCATCCAATCTATTGTTGTTTATTATAACATTGTACTGATAATTCAAATTTCAGAATGAAAGCAGCATGGCCAACTGTTGACATTGGCATCGGTGGCAGTTGTGCATACAGACTGAGAGCATTGAATAAATACAGCATTTAACTTTATTCTTAAATACATTTATTTGTAGATTTTAAAAATACATTTCATGTTTTAGTTGGAGTATTTTATGATCCAGTGCTTGAATCAGAAGACATCTGAAAAAATGAAGAGAAGAAAAAAACCCCACAAGTGCCATGGAGTTAAACCACCTCATCTTGAACAGCCAGGTGCTTAACAGTGTCCAAGCTGTACATTACTGTTCATTATGTTATTTATTTTCACCAGTAATACTGATCAGATTGTACTAAAGGCTTATAATTAGTCATTATCACTATCAGCAGCTGCTGTCATCTAACATTTTAAGCAAAGTAGATTGTATAATAATTTTGGGAGGATTTAAATTAATTTTGGAATGGTTTGGTAAAAATGTAGATGAGGTTATGAGGGATCATAAATTACAATTTTAATATGTTTTATGCAGAAGATTTAAGATTGTACACATGGCAGTGAGTAGAGAATCCAGTTAGAAAAATTATCAGTAGAGTTTGAGTCTTTACAGGCTCTACAAAAGAAAACCAAAACATGTAATTATGTAATATTAACTGAGATAATCTAATCTCAGCTGGCTAGAGTGGGGATGTCCTGCTGGCAGCCCACTGGCCTCATGTGGTCTGTGATGGATTAAATTGTGCCTCCTAGGCTCCTGCTTAGCCATTGCCCCCCCATCACTCTAGTTGTCACAGTAGCTAGAATTTCAAGGCTCCCCCTTCCTTGTCCAGCTGCCACTTCCTATCTTCCACCTGTGGGATGGGGCAGCACAGGCAGCTGAGGGTGAATCTGGGGAATGCTGTGCAGTTGGCAGTGAGCAAGGCAGGGGGGGCAAAGGCACATGGTGCAGTGGGGGGAACAGGTGCTTAATATAGTGGTGGGGGTGTGCCTTGCAGCAGGGCAGTGTCTGCAAGGATATACTGTGGCGGGGAGTGGGGTTGGAGGCATGCAGTGCAGCGGTGGGGGTTGCAGGTTGCAGGCACACAGCGCAGCAGTGGAGAGGGGCATCCATGGTGTGCACAGTCTGGTGGGGGGCATGGCTTGCCCTGATGTAGCTCTTGGGGCATGTACAGTCCTGAGGTAGAGTATGGAAACCATACAGCAACTACAAAAGTATACTTCCTCTTCCCTCACCCCCACTTTAAACGCATCCCTGCATTCTAGGTATGGGTATTTTATTTGGTTATTCCCAATAACCCAACTGTGAACATGCAATTCTTTGTTTTAGATTGACTTGCATATTATTTATTTGTGCAAGCATGTGCAAAGGCTTTTAAAAATGAAAGCCTAAGTATAGGCTCCAAAAAACTATTTTGTTTTTTATCTTTTGCACCAAAATATTTTAGAGCAAGAATTTGTCATGAAATTTTGTGAGATCCCTACATTCTCCCTCTCAGTTCAGTTTTGAAACGTAATGGCTAATTACTGTACAGTATATATTCTGAAGACAAGACCCCAGTTAAAACAAGACAGAGGACAAGAAATTCATGGGGAGAGTAAAGGAACATAAAAGGAAAAAAAAAAGGCTAAAAGATATTTTTAGTCTATATTTTAATATAGTTTAATATGGTTTAGTTTTAATATAATCTTTCATTCTTTTGTTCAACATTTGATACCTTTAACTATAATAATTTTCATTTGAAGTTGCTTTGTCTTAATTCTTTGATTTACATATAATTTGTTTCATTAAACTGCGAAGTTTTGAATTTATTGGTGAAGAATACAGGACCCAGTCTTGCCTTCAGTTAAAAACAGTGGTAAAATTCCTATGGACTTGAGACCCACTGTTACCTCCTAAATACAAAGCACCCCTTCAATTATGATAACAATAAGAAATTATCACTTTCTTGCAATACATATTCTTACAAATTGGTTTCCTGAAATGTCCCAATTGTTACTCAGCAGTATTCCTGCCCAGAGCAGGGGGGTTGGACTTGATGATCTTTTGAGGTCCCTTCAAGCCCTTAATTTCTATGATTTCTGTGATTCTACTAGTTCTGATATGAAAATCAGGGTATTTACACTGGAAATGAGCTACATCTAAAAGTCAGACTGGTTGCATGGGTGGGAGTGAGGGAGTTCAGTTAATTCAGGGTAGTTGCAGCATCAATACCTATATTTTCTTGCATCTCATATGCCCCCCAAATAAGACACGCACCTTGTTTTGGGAAGACAGAATGAAGAATAAAAGATTTTTCCAAAAGTAGCCAAAAGTTGAGTTTATGAAACAGAGGCAATGTCTGCTTTTGAGCCTACTTTCCTTCCCCTAGCTGCTCCTCAGACAAAAGCTAGAGTTTGAATCCTATACATACCACTGCTGCTGAATTGATAGCAGCTTTTGGCTGTGGACTTCACCTCTGCTGCAGGTTCTTCTTGCCAGAAAAGAGGCACAGCTCCTGGTAGCCATTCCAGTGTCTCCATGCTTCCAGTCCAATCCAGAAATCAGCCTCTTAAGACTGCACTCCAATTTTGGAGGGCTGTTTTTTGGGAAAGGACTGTGTATGTTATGTAAGTAAATCCAGTAATTTTGCACTGAAACATATGTATATTTTTATCAGAAGGCAGGGCTGTGTGACTTGCAGACTAATTCATTTAAAGGCATGAGCTTTCATAGGCTACAGCCTCCTTCATGGATTCTGAAGTAGTAAGCTGTAGCTTACAAAAGCTCAGGCCTTTCTGAATCTGGTAGTTTATAAGGAGCCATAACATCAGACTGTGCAGCTAACCAACTCTCTCTAGGGCCTCAAGACTTTCTAGATTTATTTTCTCCCTCGAATCTGGCGGAGTGTATGACATTGAGACTCTCTTTCACTAATAGGCATCTGAAGAATTTGAACTGGTAAAGCTCTGAGTTTAGGAAGATAATTCTACTAAACGATAATATGGGTAAAGCAAATACTTGTTTATACAGTTTTCAGGAAGTCTCTTTTTAATGTAAATCCATATGAGCAACCCAGACAGAGATCAATCATGTATGCACTATGAATCTTTGCATTCCTTTTTAAGACTTTTAAAATGGAAGAACTTACTTTACTAAATTATTATTAATATATATCATTGTTAACATATTCTACTAATCTCATTCAAGGTGGATAAAACTGGATCTATCCAGTCCTATTAGTTGATTATAGAGTATATTTTTAAGACAACATTTTATTGAAGTTAATTAAGAATATACTTATATCTTTATTTGATCTAGTTTCTGAGAAATAAAGATGCTTTTTTTTTTGTGTGTTGTAGTTAATATGGAAGTAGAGTCATAAAACAACTCATTCATCATTATTTTTAATATTCTCTTTAGAAAAAATGCCAATCTTGAAAGGTGAAGCCTCGCATTATGACTCTGACTTGCATAACCTGCTGTTCTGCTGCCAGTGTGTGGATGTGATATTTTGCTCAGAAGATTTAAGGAATGTAGGAGAAGCGCACAAGATTATTTTATGCTCTGTAAGCCATGTCTTCATGTTGCTTTTCAATGTGAAGAGTCCAGCTGATATTCAGGATTCCTCTGTCATAAGGACTGCGCAGACTCTCTTTGCAGTAAACAATGAAGCTGTTTTTCCAGTTTCTAGCAGAGGCTCACCGTGCAACCCACCAGTAAGAGTCATTGTTAAAGACTCCTTCTTCTGTTCTTGTTTGTCAGACATTCTGCACTTCATTTATTCAGGTATCCTGTCAGAATGGTTGCAGCTGCTTATGTCTTTTAAAAAGCACACTATTGTATAGAGTGGGTACATTATCTAATCAAAACCTGCTTCTGTTGGGGATAAATCAATTTAGTTAAAACAGACTATCTGCTATTATTAGTAACAGTTTGTACATGGAAATTTTAATTTTGTTGCAATTATTGCTCTTAGCAAAATAATGACAGTTACTGACTTCCTTGAAATAAGACTTCTAAAGTGAGGTGAGGTATTTTTCCTGCAAAAGTCAGTAGGAGGATACATTTCTATGAATAAATAACTTGTAAAAATGAATGGAATACCAGCCACCCCTGCAAAAGCCAGTATTTCAGTAAAAGAATTTCAGATCTAACAGCAATGTCAAACCTAATGTTACCTGTCCTAAAAATAGTGATGTGAATATATGTTTTCTGAGTAAGAATGCGAGGGGCTCTCATTTCCTGATAGTGAAGAGAGGAGCAGAATTACATGGTTTATGAGAACGACGGACTCATTGTGTGACCTTTGCAAGTCAATTAACCATACTTACCCTAATCTTAATTTTATCTGTTAAAATGGTGCTAATAGTATTTTTCTACCTTTTTTTTTTTTTTTTAAAGCAGTCGGTGATCCTCAGATGAAAGACCCTGAACAATGCTAAAAAATGTTATGTCATGTGATCATTGTTTTGTTTTAATACCAAAAGACCCTATTGATCATGTTTTAAAAGTTGTACCAGTACAGCCAGGGGGTCAAAATCATGGCTTGCTAGCATCTGGCCGGCAGTGCTGCCTGGGGAACTCAGATTGGCCCTGCATGCAGCACACGCCATCCCCAGCCTCGTGTGCTGCATGTAGTGTGCACAGCTGGTCTCATGCAGTCTGGGGCACATACTGCACTCGGAGCCTGTCTGGCATGCATGCTGCATGTAGTGCCTGCATTATACCAGCCCTGCACACTGGATCCAGTGTGGGGACGGTTTATGGGCCCAGTCTGGCCTGTGGGGCCTGACTGAGTTGGATACCCTTGCAGTACAGTATCAGTACAGGCAATGGAAATAGCAGGGAATTGCCATGTATCTGGGTCCAAGAAGGCAGTTTTCCTTAAGCGTTCCCAGGGTTAACTGTTCTACTGGCATGGTTTAGTATTCACTGAGGTGTTACGGCTTAAAGCCCGCTTTATGGAAATTGGAAGCTCCTCCCTAGCTTGCTCCTGCAGCCATATGGCTGAGGGCAGGCAAAATTTAGGGGCATCTGAACCCCAAGCCTTTGGGCTTGGGCCTGCATGTAGGATGCCTGCCAAAAGACTTTGGAAATATCTGAAGCCCCTGGTGGGGGGACGGATGATGTTTGCCAGTTGTAAGGCCACTTACAGTTCTGGACTGACTCATGGATTTGGACTTGATTTGGCTTGGAACATGAAACTTTTTTTTCTTTAAAGAAATAAGGGGAGGGAATAGGCAGTGTGTACCCTTTATCTTGGTTGTGGGATTATTACCTGTCTTCTGCAGGTCTCTGCTGTCAAGTGACCAGCCTGCTTTTTCCTTTTTTGATGAATTCTGACTGGAGTAGATGCAGAAGAGGTTTACTAAGATTACCAGGGTAGTGGAGAGCCTGTCACATGAGAGGCGACTGGAAGAGCTTGCTTGTTTGTTTAAGAAAAACAAAGGCCTAGAGGGATATTATTGCTATATATAAATACATTAGAGGTAACCACCTGGGAGGAAGAAGAGCTAAGGGACAATTTTTGCAAAAAATAGAGCTAAAAATTGGCTGTTTATTTAGGCTGGAAATTAAAAGATTCTTAACCATTAAGGCAGTGAGGCTTTCAAAACCTTCTGGTCATGCTGGTACAGATTAAATATCTGTCTTAAAATGGAGCTTGATAAGTTTACAAAGGGGATTACAGATGATGAAGTACCTGCTATAACACGGGACTGGATTTGATGACCTAGAAAATCCCTTCCAGTCCTGTGTTCCTGTGCACATCTGATGTTACCACTAATATAGTTACCACTAAGATGTATGCGATGAACATACCTTTGTATTAAGAATTAGCAGAACTTTTAAGTAATACATCATCATTTTAATTGTAATTAGAAAAGCGGAAATATATTGTTACAGATGTCTATGGAAGGAATTTAAGTTTATCTCCAGAGTCATAGTTGTTTAAAATATTGAAAGGGCTGCTCTCCTGGAACATTAGTCCATAATCTTTGGAGAAGAACATTGTCGCAGGGCATTTCCCCCCAAGTTCAAGTCTCACTAGGAGCGGGGCACGGAAGGTGTGTTGCAGGGCACTGAAGTGCCTGCTCCTAAAGAAAGACAGGTGTGGGTTGCTGGGGCAACCACAGAGGTCAGCTGACCGGAAGGGGGCAGGGCCTGGTCTATATAAATAGCTTAGGCTGAGGCCAAGAGGGCAGTTCCCCTCTGGCAGCTGAGAAAGATGGAGCTCTGCAGGAGCAGGCAGAGATGAGAAGCCTGATGACCTGAGCAGATTATGGGTGAGAATACCAGGCAGAGGAACCCCTGGCAGGGATGGTAATGATGATGAGCCAGAGGGCTTAGGGTTTACGTTTTATCCAAGAGGCTTGGGTTTTGTGTTACAGCTGATTGGCTTATGGTTTTGGTTATTGTTACACTGGAGGACCGGGTGAGGCTATAAGGGGTTGGAGGAGGCCTCATAGGAGCTCCCCAGTAGCGTGGGGGTTCCTGGTGCCAGAGAGGGCACACCAGTCTGGATCTAGGGCCAGGTAAGGCCGAGGCCGCCTGAGCCGGATAGGGATCACAGACCCAAGAAGGGAGTCTGAGGGCCAGGTAAGGCTGAGGCCGCCTGAGCCCCGATTGCGTGAGCGTGAGCAAGGCCCCAGTGCGGGCATGAGTGCAAGTAGAGCCCCAGGGAGGGCTAGAGCCCAGGGAGGGCATATAGGAATAAGAGCCCCAGGGAGGGCTAGAGCCCAGGGAGGGCATATAGGAATGAGAAGCCCCAGGGAGGGCATATAGGAATGAGAAGCCCCAGGGAGGGCGAGCGTATGGGTAGAAGCCCCGTGGAGGGCGTACGAGAATAGAAGCCCCGGAGAGGGCGAGCATACGGGGAGAGGGCCGCTAAGAGAAGACAATAGACTTACCAACATCTGGTACACCTGAGAGGCATGGGGCGTGGTATAAGGGGTGGTAGGAGCCATGCGTAGCCCATAAAGCTGGGTGCAACAAAGATCGAGCTATACAGAGCAGGGACCAGGATAAATAAAAACACCGTGTCCAAGAGGACAAAAGGGCAGCCTCCCTTATAATATATTTGATCATCAAAGATGTGGCGGGCGAGATAGCGAGGGTGTTTGATAGACAACTTGGCACGGTAGGGGGCGCCAGGAGAGATCATGGCCGCTCCTGGGTCTCTGCCCTGTGACAAACAGAAAAAAACTATTTTAGCATCATCAAGATTTGATTCTAATCTCACCTGAGAAATCAGTGTGAAGCACTGGTAAACAGTTTGCTGTAAAGTTATGGGAATGTAAGCTATACACTGTCCGGCTATAAACACCTTCAGATTGTGTACCACATTACTCATAAAATGAATTCTTTTTTGGTAAAAAGTTCATGCCAAAATTTGTCTGTCTTGTACGTTTACATTGGAGAAGGGAGAGAGTCGAGCTCCTAATAACAGTGCTGTAATCCTGAGGAACTGTGAAGTATCTCTGATTTTGGTGGCATAGGGGTCGGATTCTCTTGATCAGACTCCACATAAGGTGCTGCTACCTGACAAGTTATTGCCCTTCTCTATTTTTGTGTATGTTCCCACCAGCTTACTTCTTTACTTCTCTAATCATTTTAAATGAAAATTTGAGTGGCTGTTACTGGTTTGGGGTATAACCCTGTGTCATTATGTCCCCCCAAACACATAATGTGTGCAAGTCTTCTTCAAATAAGTCATTATGCTAGACGCAAACTTACTATGTAACATCCAGATAGGAAATCTATAACTATGAATATCTTTTTAATAATTTTTTTGAAAAGTCTTCATTCTTTTCCTCCTCTTCTTCATCTTTACCTCTTCTTTGCCTCACTCTAGACTTTTCCTCTTCCACTGCTCCAGGACTTCAGAAGGCGATGATAATACTGGCCCTGATCCCCTGAGCAGCTTACCCTTTCCAGGCATTCTAGGGGGAAACCACTCTGGTCCTGTGTATCTTGGCTAAGTGGCTGGAGCAGGGCTTCATAGGAGAAGCAGCACTTGAGTAAGCTGTTTCTCTGTGAATCTCTGCTGCTGTGTCTCAACCATTCAGCTGATGATGGCACTTCCTCTTAAATGCCGAGTTGTTCAACACCTCGGGGCTGGTGATGGAATTATTCTCTGAAGCAGGCAGAGGATTGAGAAACTGAAAATGAAGGGAAAGGGAGATTGTGAGGTGGGAAAAAGGGAGGGAAGAGTGGCACAGGGAGGAAAGGGAGAAGGTGAGTGTTGGTAGGTAGCTTTAAAAAATGCAAAAATAAAAATGCATTTAGACTCTGTTTGTTTGTGTCAGGTAATTTTTCTTTTGGAATCTTTTTTTTTTTTCCCCTTGTGTGTTTAAAAAAAAAAAAAAAAA